CTCAGACTTTTAACCAAAAAAAGAACCAAAAGTGACAACTTTCTAAGTGGGGACTTCCTGCTTAGCAGCAGTAAGCATGTAAGCGTGAACAATTCAAATTGTATTCATTGTTTTCCAAAGCCTGATGGGGATGATACTGTGTGCACCATTTTGAGGAGTGATCCATTTTTGAGGATGCTGCTTTAGAGAAGCATCAAGTGTCCTGCAGTTAAGACAATGTAATAATACGTAGTTTTCTACTACTGTACAAATGCTCTCCGAGTACCTGATTCTAAGATACATGTAGCTCCTATGAAAAAGTGTAACTACATCAACTTCAAAGCAGCGTCACATTTTATATCTATCACTTATTTGCCTATATTTCTAAAACACTAATAAAGCCTTAAAAACGTGGAAAGAAATTATAGCTATCTTATTAGCAAGATAGTGAATACATCCTTTTTCTAAAGCAATCTAAAGCCATTATGAGCTAATGTATAGTTTGACACTATACAAATATTAGGGCCAAAATGCCAATTCATTTTAGGTTTGAGCCTACCCCAGTTTAAAGCAGCCTTTGTAATGAAAAGTGACCGTAAACTTGCCTGACTCTCTGCACATGAATAATATGGGCTAACACAAATGTTAGACTTAAACCATGAGAAACATAAAGTTACCAACACTTTTTATAATCATGCAATAAACAAGATGCAATTATTTTTATTTTTAATTAAAACTTTAGCTATACAACATATTTCTAACACAAAGGTGGGTTGTCTTAGAATTGTTTGGTATCTCAGGAAAGTCAGCTTGTTTTATCATTGCTAGTAGACTTGTCTTTCTGCTGGACACAAGACAGATAAAACACAATATGAATATGCATCGAAGTAAATATGGAATTTTGGATATACAGAATTTGGCATGATATTCCAAGTAACCCTTCAGACAGAACATAACTTTTGCACGCTCCACAGCCTTCTCTGAAAATTCATCTTTCTCATAGGAGATTTCAATGGAAATGGATCCTCCTCAGTAAGAACAGTTTGTGTGAGAGAGCGCAGAGCGCCAGAAAGAGAATGGTAACCTACTGAAAGACCACTTAACATCCTTCCTCTCATCTCCCCTTTTGCATCAAACCAACTTACTGAACTTCTCCTACACAAATCTGGAAGCCAAAGCAGCTGTGACATGGAAAGCCATTTAAAAAAAGGAAACCCAACTAAAAAAACACCACCACGAACACCTTTTGATAACTGAAGCTTGAACAGAAAGAACAGGTATTTTTGGCAGAATGCCATCCTAGGCTGCTGTTGCACTCTCTTGAGTAACATGTTCTGGCCAAGAAGCATGTTACCTGTCCCCTACTTCAGCTCCCAGCTACTACAAAAGGGGTTTCATCACTTGGAAATAACTTGCATACCTGTCTGAGCTGCCTTCCAGTTGACACAACTGGATAGCTGAAACCATCTTAACAGCATATTTCTCTCTCTGAAGCTTTTAGAAAGATGATCTAGCAATAGAGGCAACATACATATCTATGAAAGTTGTCTTTGAGAGAACATATAACAATTATGTCTGCATGTTCAGAGGGATAAGAAATGACAACCAAACAAATTTCAAATCCTGCAGAAAATAGCCTTGCAGAAAATGCTTTCTCTTTGAAGAAAATTCTTCTCTACTTTATAGCCAAGTTTCTGCGCTGCAAACATTAGTTAATCAGAAAGCCTGGAACAAAAATAAATCATTAATATGGAAAATAATAGTGAAGTGAGAACATCCACTTAAAGATCCCATTGTATTAGGCTGCATATCGTGGTACTTATAGCTTGACCACAAATGCGAGGGTGGCCAGCCTTGAACTTTTTTTCCTCCCTTCTTTTCTAAAATTCTCAGTGTTTTGAAGCATCAATAAGGATTTCTTAAAATGACCTGTTTGATTCCTATCTATTACAAGATCCTCCAAGATCTGCAGAATATATAAAGCAATATGTCAAGTGTTACTACAGCAAGACAAGAATAGATAGGTGAAGTCAAGGAATCAAATCCTGCTGCTCGTGACACCACCACCACTGTAAGTCAAGAGCAGCTCCTTGAAAGCCATATCTGACAAATAACTGGGTCAGAAAAATTCAAACTTGATTCTCTTGTATGCCACTATCCATTTACTGCAGTTTGAATTCAGGCCTAACAACAGACAACTCAGGACTTACCAAGACGGCGATAGGACAGAGAGCAGCAGCTTTTGCGTGCAGAGTACAAAGGAGTCTTTCTGCCTGGCTACCTTCTAGTCAGTTTACTCTTCCCATAACCTAAGAAATATTACAACCTCCAACAACAAAAAAAAATCTATTCTGTATATAGTCTGAAACACCGTTCAGCATATACTGAAACAATGGACAGAAGAGAACCAAGTCCATTCTCTAAAAAAGACTATTTATGTTTTCTTTAATTTTATAAAAAATCCCCAAGTGAACTAAAGTGGCAAAAAGTGTTACAGGTTAAAAGAACCAACCAACCAGCTCCTCAAACAAACAAACAAACAAACAAACAGCAAAACAAAAAAAAAAATAGCAATTTTGAACAACACAGGCCCTTTTGCTCACTACATAATGATTGCGTAAGGGACAGCTGCATCAAGTATTCTTAAGATCAACAGATACTAAAATATTAAATTCATACACTAGGTAACCACATACCACGTGTTTATGAATATATGCATGCACAAAAACACACAGTAAAAGCAGTTAACAACATTTTGCAGACTTCCAAATTCTTTTCTTTTTTTAATCTTTGGCTGATGATGGTGAATTGCTCAGACTTTGTTATGTGCAGCTCAAATAACTTTGGATACTTCGAAACAAGTATTACAAGCTTTATCTGCTTAGCCTTTCTGGATAAAAACCCAGCCCTATTAAAATCAAAGACCAACTCCTATTGACTTAAGTGGCTTAATTCACTCTAAAATCCACAGCTCTAATTTTGCCTTCCTTCATACTAATGAAAATCCTAAATAATTGCTCTGAAGTCAGTTCACATTCATAGGATAAAGACAAAAAGAGCACAAGGGCAATTTGATTTTATAGCTTAGCTCCATACTTGTGTGACTGATTAACTCCAGTGTCACAAAGAACACCAGTGCCTTTGATTTGTATGTTTATGTAAAAAACTGGAAAATCTGGGATACTGAATTTACCCATGATAAAATGGCATCATGAAAGACTAACTTGGAAGGGTATTCATGTTTTAGAATATGTTATGAATCAGAGAGACTTCTGGAAAGAGTCTTAAGAAGAGAAAGAAAGAGAGGCTCAAATACTGTTCCAAATAGGAGGTTTTAACCAAGAGATAAATTAACTCCTTACAAGACATAAAAATTAATTAATGCCAACTATATAAAAAGACAGTTATTCAAAGAAACCCAGAATGCTCTGGCCAAGTGTGCAATGGTCATTGGTGTGCGTATGGTCCACGTTTGCCTCTCTGTGGCACACCTTCCAGGTGCTCTGCTACAGCTCCTGTTTTGGGAGAGTTCACAGTCTCTTTATCTGCTGTGCTACAGCATGGGCAGGGCTCTGGCACCACAGAATTAGTTATTAACCCTCCGCTGCTCACATGGCCCTATGCTGACTTGGAAAATGGCCGTCAATAATTTAATAGTTTGACTCTTTTGAACAATTAGCAAATCCACTAATTAGATGAATTTGTAATTCAGGATTGTATAAACCTGACATTCCTATATACAACTAAAAGGAGCATTCTGCTGCAAGCCAACCTTGGGTTTATACCACATTTTGCTTGTTGAGGGCGGGGGGGGGAGAGAAAAAACCCCCAACTTTCAAATTTCAAATGTTTTCATACCTAAGTTCTCATTGCAGGATTATTTTCTGTTTAGCACATAGCCTTGTTTTCCTAGGACTAAATGCAATAGCTTTCCTGAACTAGCGTTAATTCAGACAACTAATGCGGTATTAAAATGACTTTTCATTTTTTCCCAATGTTTACATTTTAGAAAATGAATTCTTTAAGAATTTCTCACTAAACAACTGATGATAAAATTAAATGTAAATTATAAAAAAGTTAATTCCCTTTTGCATTTTCATATTTCCAGGCATATTTTTTTCTCCTAAAAACATATTAAAAATGTCATACACATTTGTATGAGCAACAATCAAACCCACACATTTGTGAAGTTTCAGTATAATGTCATCAAACCTTAGTTTACAATAAGAAAAAGAAATAATAATAAAAATAAAAATAATCACACCCCAGATTCTGATACACTGCCAGGGTTTAACAGCATTTTAATTCTTCAACACACACAGGCCAAGTGCTGCTACAACCACAAGGCACAGGCAATGTGTCTCTCACGAGCCGAGATTCCTATGATGGTTGTCAGCTGCAACAGGTGCAGTAAGATTAACCCTGGCTTGAAAGTCTGCACTAAAGAAAAGTCTGCTCCCAAACCTCGTAAGAAAACACACCCAAAACACCAAACCGCGGCACAACGCCCCGGGGCAGGCGGGAGGGGAGGGCAGGCGAGGGGAGGGCTGCTGTCCCCGCAGAACAGCACCCGTGTCCCAGCACGCCTTGCTGGTCCCATTCAGCAGGAGCACGAAGCTCCACCGGGCAACAAAGGGGCTTTCGGAGGAGCACCGGGCCTGCCCGGCTCGGCACGGGCAGCTCGGCAGCAGGCTTAGCCCGGCTGCCCCGAGGCGAGCCCGGCTGCGGGCCAAAGGCAGCGCCGAACCTGCCGGGCCGGCCGGGCCAGCCGGGCCCCGCGGTGACCCCCGCCCGCTCACAACGCCCCTGGCAGGGAGGCGGGTTCGGCCGGGCCCACCGCCACTTACCGAGCCCCAGCACCGGGATGCTGTGGCCGCTGGCGAGCGGCACTGTGGGGCCGGCGCCTGGCATGGGCCTGCCCGCCGCCGCCATGGCCCGGAACTACAGCTCCCGGCGGCCCCTGCGCCCGCGCCGCGGACAGCCGGGAACCGGGCGGGAGGCGGGAGCGCGGAGGGGCGGCCGGGACACGAGGAGGTGGGAGTGGAGTGCGGAGGTGGGGGCCGGGAGCGCGGAGGTGGGAGCCGGGATACGAGGAGGTGGGAGTTGGGCCGTCCCTCTGCCCATGGGGCCGAGTCCCGACGGGCCGTGGAGTGCCGCGGCTGATCCCTGTTTTCTTTGTCTCCCGTGGCAGGTGGCGGCTCTGCCCGGCCCCTCGAACATGCTGTACCTGGTCGGGCTGGGCCTGGGCGATGCCAAGGACATCACGGTGAAGGGGCTGGAGGCGGTGAGGCGGTGCCGCAGGGTGTACCTGGAGGCCTACACGTCCGTGCTCACGGTGGGCAAGGAAGCGCTGGTAGGTCCGGCCACGGGGCCCGAGGCCTCTCGGACCGCGGAGCGAGGCGGGCGCTGGGGCTGGGGGGTCAGCGGGGAGGAAGAGGTACGTGACCCTCACACACTACGTTTTATAGGAGATATTGCTTTGCTATCTTGCCAGAAGACTGCAGCAAAAATAAAATGTTCCTTCCTTCAACTCTTTGTACTGGTTTTCATCTCAGATTCTCCCAATGTGTGCAGATCGTGGACAACGTGGTTAGAAGAATGTCTGATCTGTTTAAAAACAAAAAAAGCCCAAAAGACATACCAGAATAAAACACATTTTGAAGCCCTGGGCCTCAATATCAGCCTGAGGCGTTGTGGCTTGCCTGCTGGGAATAACAAGTTGACTGTCTTACGTTTCCATGTTTTTCCACGTGGGCCAAGCTGTCTCACCAGGTTGAGACTCCCAGAACAGGTACAGTTCAGTCAGAGATGGGCTGTTGAACAGCATGGAGATAAATAAACCTTACAGAAGACAACAGTAGTCAAATGTACAAATTGTAACTCTGATGGGTTCATAGGTGGTCACAGAAAGATGAAGTTTAATGTCAAAATAATACCAACAAAAGACCATACCTGCCCACAAAACAGGGATGTCTCCTCCCGGGAAGCTGTGCAGTACTGTACAGAGATGCTGTTTGGGTCTTGGGTGCTGTATAGCCATAATGTACCTGCATGCATACCTGTATATACATACAGCATGTGAGACTTTTAGCTTGTAGTCAGCATTACATGGTTTCTGGATACAAGGTAGGCTAGAATATTTGAGGCCGTCTCTGGTTTATCTGCTGTATTTTGGAATGAAGATATGCTGTGTGTTTTTATGTTTCTTTTCAGTACACTGAAGCAATCTAAATTGTAGTCAGTCCATTAAAACAAAATGTTCTTTGTTGTTTGATAGTTGGAAAATTGCTAAATGGAAAAGATTACTTGGGTATTTTTACTTCACAAAATTTGCATTTTCTCTCTCTCAAAAAAAAAAGAATTCCTAGCCATCTGAAAATAAAACATTGAATAATGGAGAAATGCTGAATATTTTGGTGTGGTTATTTTGTTGTTTTTTGGGGGCTTTTGTTACGTTTTTTTATTCTTTTAAGTATTTTGCAAACCTTGAAGTCCCAAAGACGAGATAACTGGAAAAAGTGATCAATAAAAACAAAGTAAAAGATACCTTATCTGAAACCACCTAAGAGGAAATACAGGAATTAATCACCAAGTGTTTATAATACAGCCCAGTTTGCAGACAAGTGACAATGCTGGATGGTTTATTTAGTGATCTGAAGGTCAATCTCTCCTAAGCAGCATGAAAAGTTATGGGAAAGCTCTCAAAAAGTAAAGAACAGATCCTTTCCTGCAGAAATTTTCTGGAAATCCTTCTATACTGATGCTTTTAAAATCAGGCCTCAAAATTCAAGTGACATGACTTGCTTAGTTTATCTTGTTGGCCTAAAACATGTATTTGAAGCTATTTGATGTTGACCATCTAAATTGGCCCTTAGTTTGGTGAAAGAACTGTGTGGACCCAGTGGCCTCCCAGTGAGTCTACATTGCCAGGAGGGTGCTTTCTGTATATTCTCTAATTAGCATGCTTGGATTAGCATTGTGGAGTAGTTCTCAAAGCATGCAAATAGATTCCCTTGGATGAAAACAAACAAAGGTGTGCTCCTGGGACTGCACCCAATCTGTTCTGTAGTGTGCATTTGTTTACAGCATTGGACTAAAGTCAGCCTGGTGCAATGATAAGCCCACCCAAATGGATGTGGTGTTACCAAGGGCTTTGCTTTATAGAGTCCCATACCTAGTACTCTGGCTATGGGATGGATTTTTTTATGGAAGCACTGCTCCACTTCTGTACAAGTATGATGGTTCTCTCATCAATTCACTGTCCTTTGTGGCCACAGTCACAGAAGTCATAAAAATTTCTTTCTGGGCCATAAATGACTTAATAGTTTTATCAATTCTTTATTTATATTGGTTAATATTCACAATTCCACCCAAATTTTCTGTATACTACTTAGAACAAAAACACCTTTTCTGGTCTTTGCCTTGGAAAATATACCTTAAAATGTAAAGAGCATGTGAAATGCATGGTGACACATGACTTAGAGACAGATGTGTTCAGTATGGTCAGACAGTATGTTCTAGAACTAACTGAAGTTTCATTACATATGTGAAGTCGATTCGGGAAATAAAGGCACTTAAAACATACAAAGAGACACAATGATTACTGAGCTGCTGAGGAAAAGTGAAGGAAATGAGCAAATGCATCTTCACCTGTATACATGGTAAAGTATTTCTTAAAGAGAACTCTGAAGGCGAAGGATTAATATGAAATCATTCCTTAGATGTGGTTTGTTTAAATGTTCTAAGGAAAAATCTGAAAAAACAGGTTGTGGTATAGCTAGTGTGGTGTTTGTATCTGGTTTGACGTCAGAATTATAACTAAGCTAAGCAGTTAGGCCCAGACTGTGAGGGGAGACGCCTGACAGTACGATGGCCAGTTAAATTAACTGTACCAAGAGCCCAGCCAGGTACCTTCAGAATGCAGGTGTGACTGAGCTACTTGTGGGGCAGCTTCTCAGCTGACACAGAAGACATAAAAACAAGAAGTCAGTATCAGAATAAAGTGTTTGACTGAATTTTATCAGCTCAGGAGCTGATTTATGGGAAGCTCAGGCATTCTGCCAAGTTGGGGTGAGGTTCTCCAAGACCTGGGGCAGACTGCTGGGGAGAATATTAAAGTTAGCTATTCCAGTGTCCATTATCCGTGTTCCTGAGTGAGCACCCAGAGAGATACAAAACCACTCCTAACTGTATTGTTCTGATGCTTAATATTAATTTCAATTTCTAGGAAGAGTTTTATGGAAAAGAATTGATTTTGGCCGACCGAGAAATGGTGGAGCAAGAAGCAGATACCCTTTTAAAAGAAGCTGATGTTTGTGATGTCGCTTTTCTTGTAGTTGGGGATCCTTTTGGGTAAGATAAAGCAACTTTTGAATTATTGCTCTAGCTTGATAACTCTTTTTTTTCAATAGGAAGAAGCCAACTCTGTAACTGTAATTCTTTATGAAGAAGCTGATTTTCAGACCAGAAGCACTTTTTTATGTCTGCATACCCTTTATTGTATTACAAATATACATGCAATTGCCTACACATTATCTTGCTTTGGAGTTTTCTTGCCCAGATGTTTCTTATAGATAGGAATGTGGATGCATGAATCTTTCCTTCAGCACACACTTATAATTTCATTCATTATAATTTTATTCTCTATTAATTTACAATTAATATTTTGTTTCATGTTTTGTTTGCTAACAGAAGAAATTTTAGGATATCCCATAATTAAGAAATGTGCTGTTTTGGAGGAGTATTCTTTTAGTTTCTGTTTGTATTTATAAATTGCAGCTTTTATGCTCAGTTGTTTTAGAATGAATACAGATTATTGGTTGTACAGTGGTTCTGCTTTGATATAGGCCAGTTTTTTAAATCACTTATGTCGTTATACATGTCTTCTCATGTTGGTCTATTAAGCCTTTTGTTTCCACTTTTTATTCCTGCTGGGAAGTATAGTCTTTTTCTATCACCAGAAGGATCTCCTTCTGTCTCTTTGGTCAGGCATCATCAATCTGTGTTGTCAAGCCATACAGAAGAGCTTTTAGTCTCCAGCTGGTGATTCAAGATTTATACCACAGTGTTAAGGGCCACAGGAAAAATCAAATCACTAAGCACCTTATTTGTGAGTGAAAAAATAGAGAGTTTATGAAAAAGAGGAGCGGTGTGCACATCTGTCAAAAGCAGATAATTTATGTAAATACAGGTTGAAGGGAATTGGCAAGAGAATATTATATTAAGCTAGTTATTATGGGCAGATGATCCTGTATTTCAGAAATATTAATTATACTTGCAGTACATGTTTACACTGAAATTAGGGTTCATGTAGAGTGTAGAGCTACATTACCTGTACCCTTGTAAGCAGTATTTTGAGCTGTCTCAGTTATCAATAGTTTCAGTGTCAAAATACTTCAGTTCTGGTTAATGAACTACATACTTGTAGAAAACTACCTTTTTTTTGAGTGAGTTGCTTCTCTCTAAATGTTTATGTTCTTAGCTTTTAATAGTGCAGCTAGAACTGCTCCTGTGCCCACATAGAGCCCTAAGGATTTAGGGGTTTGTGAGGTTACTAGGAAAGAGTACTGAAGGTTTCTGTCCTAAGAGAAGCCACAGGGGAGGAAAGGATGATAGAAGTCATGTGACTGCAGCTGATCATAGAGTTTCCAGTCTCTTTGCAGGTAAGAAGAGTACTTGGCAGCCTTAGGAAATCTCAAGTGGTGGTGGTTAATGGCTAAAGCAATAAAGCAAATTGTGCCCCCTCATCCTCCTCACTGTGTTCACTGCAAGTTTTTATCTGCGTGTGTGGTAACAGCTCTGGATGTGGTTACAGGAACCTGGCAATTTCCGTGGAGCAGTGGAAAGCCCACCACGCTAGGCTGGTGTTAATATTTGTATTATTACTACCCATAAAACTTAAAATCTGTATCAGTGACAGAAAATACTACTATAGTTTTGGGTGCAGAGGGCTGACTCCATGAAGCCTTTGCTGGCATTAGCTGAGTGCTCATGAGAGCACTTCTGCTTTTAGCTACAGTCATTATAGATAGATCTACTGGGAGAAAATAGTGGCTGGAGCAAATTTTAGTGAATAAAGCCAGCTGATCCCTTGGTCAGTATTAGCATAACCACAAAATCCTGCAGTGCTCCTCGTCCTTTGTATGGGAGGGGAATAACATAAGGCTGTAAAACTTCTTCTCTTAGATCAGACATTCTTAAATCACCTTTGCTTATGGAAGTCAGGAGCAATGTTTGTTTACTAACTAAAGTGTTTGGTTTAGATCACTTTTCTGCATTCTCCCAGGTCTGGGAGCCTATTTGTATAAGGGCCTCAGAGTTATCAAATTCAGAATCCTCATTTTTTTTCTTTCAGTGAATTGATTTTTCTTTTAAAATTATTGATCTTTACAGCCTTGCCAGCTGCTGCCATATTTGTGTTCCAATCTGGAGCACCTGCTGACTGGTGCTGGTCAGACACACAGGGTCAAAATTATCAGACTAAATTCAGGGGAATTCTGTGAGGGTAACTGCACAAGGCCAGGGTGAAAGCAGTTTTCCTAGTTCATTGTTCTGATGGGCATATGCTATTTCTTCCTTTCCTTCCTTCTTTGGAACCGCCACACAGAAATTTGTGGTACATCTTGGGAATGATATAAGCACGCATGCGAGCAAATACACATGTAAACAGCGTTGCAATTCAAGGATTTGTTTGATCTCTGTGTACTTATCATTTTAGAAGGGCTCTAATCTCAGTTGCATAACTATAAGCCCAGTGATTTTTGCAGTAGTCACTCCCTGCAAGGTGTTTATTGAGTCTTAGACCTGGAGCCAAATTTAGCTCAGTCTGAAACTTAACTAGAATTTTCTTAATTATTTCAGATTAAACTTGATCACTCAGATTTAGGCATTGTTAATTTGAGTTAAATATTATGAAAGGTGATTTAGTCTAAGGATGTTTTTTCTAAGTAGTGCCTGCAGTTCACCCCTGTGCATTCGGAGTTCTTGTCTGACTGTATTGCTTTCCTGGCACGTGCTGGTGCAGATGGGAGAGGGCCCGGCTGTGCAGTACTGGAGTTTTGTGGAACTCTGTGCCAAATAGAGTTGACCTTTACAGTTCAACACATGTTCCACAGATACCTGCAGAAGACAAAGGATAAATGGAGCTTTCCTTTTCAAGTACTTGCCAAAGCTACTTTATGAAGTAACAGTTGTATTCATGTTACAGTTTTAATGATGCCAGAAAGCTGCAAAGAACTGTAATATACTGAAGATGCCTGTGATTTCAGCTAGGGAAGATGACATATGGAAACCTGACTGGAGTTTTTACTTTCCTGTAACAATTGGTCAGGATATTGTCGCCATTTTGTCTCCTCTGCATTGCCCTTGTTGTGAAGGGTTTAATTTCACTTTCAAAACAAACTATTATGCTAGTAACACTTGGTAACTTCCATCTTTTCAATCTTTAATTCCTTTCTTTTCTTAACACAGGGCCACAACACACAGTGATTTAGTACTACGTGCAGTAAAATTGGGGATTCCTTACAAGGTCATTCATAATGCTTCAATAATGAATGCAGTGGGCTGCTGTGGTTTACAGGTAACATTTTTGTATATGCATATATTATATATATGCATACTTTGTATATACATACATATTATTTCCTAACTGCTAAGCTTAGAATTGGTGAGCTCTTTTACTGCTGTGGCAGTTCATGTTCCAGTCTCAGCTTTGAAGATCCGTAGCAGAATTTGTTAACACTTCCTTTTCAGCATGCAACATGTCAGAAAAAGTCCCTTTTGACAAGCACATATGAAAATGAGTAGTAGCACTTTTATTCTTTTCTGCTTTCTAACTTTCCTCTGCCCCAGGAGACCCTGATATTTAAGGTTATTTTGCAGATAAAACTTCGCTCATGTTGGCTTCCTTGTATTACTCATGGTCACCTGATAAGTTTACTCTTAAATAAGGTTGTTATCCTGTTGAGAAGTATGCTGGTCTTGCCATAAAAGAAACAGATGCACAAGCTTGTCTATATGTTCAACTCATAACTAATTCCAAAGTCTCGTATATGATGCATTCTTTCTCTTCAAGTTTGATCTATCTCCACTTCTGCCCATCTGATGAGAGAGGAGGGATTTGCCCAGCCAAGGACTAGTCAAACAAATTACAGTTTTTGTGCATCTTGAATGGCTAAAGTAGAAAAGGTCTAGTGTTCCCCAAGAAAATAGTTCCTTTTACACATGTATAGGTCCATTACTACTTTTCCTGCGTGAAAAATGTTATGGCAGTGTATGAATCATAACTAATCACATATAAATTAGATGAAGTCTCCCCCTCTTGTTTTCATTCATTTCTTTAACATAGGACCTGCCCTCTCAAGGTTAAGAATGGTTCCCCATGTGTGGGAACACCCAAACCAATTTCCCACTTTACCAAGCACAGCAATGTAAATGTACTACAGACAAGAGTTGAGGGTTTGAACAATAACTTTTCATCACTGAAAGAGGAATTCCTTCCTAGCTGTACATAAAATAACAAAATTTTTTTTAATTTCAGCAAACAACTGGTACCACCAAATTTCCCCTGACAAACTCCAGTACTCCAAATGCCATTAAACTAACAATGCTGTCCAACAGCAGAAAATCTGTTGCAATAAGTTGAGTATTATCTTTGGCTTTGATTAGAAATCTGAGAGCCGTGTCTGATCTGGCAGTTCAACAACAGTGCATTGACACCTGCTCCAAGAGGTGAATGTTAATGCTAAAGGGAACACAGCATAGCATTCACACTCTATATAATTCTTCCTGTGAGCCCTTTCTCAGTGATACCTGCCTGCTGCTGCAAGACTTGGGCAAAATTATCTTTTAGGAAGGAAATAAGTTTCTTGGTGTCTAAAATGTACATGCAGAGACAGATGGCAGCTGCCGCATGACTGCACTTACTGGGGCGGGTAACACAGGAGTTGGGGCTGGGGCTCTCTCTTTCCCCTTTTGGCTTCATGGTAGTGGAAAGTTTGCTTCTGCTATCTGACTGTTGATAAGTAGTTTCTACTGGTCACTATCTTTTTTACTGTTCTCTTATGTTCATTCAGAAGGAAGATGCAAAGCCCAAAGAGTTTTCCTAATTTTCTGAAAGTTTCCTTCCTCCACAACTCCAGCCAGGCATGGGAAGGAAGAGTACAGAACTTCTAGGTTCCTTGAAAGAAAGACCAGAAAACTAACTGGGAGTATATTACAAACAATTCATAAAGTTTTTCACTTATGCAGAGTTTTGGAGATTAGTTTACTATTTTATTTCCTTATCCCATGCTGAAGGGAACAGACTATGAAGGAAACGTGGTCTGTTTTTTAAACTCTGGCATTAGTCCCCTTTTCCTCTCTGGCTTGGGAGGGGCTGCCTTCTCATTCCTGTTGTCGTATAAAGCATTTAGGAAATAGTGATCGTATTACCAGACAGATGATAAGCAGTTATATGTTTAACTCTTCATTGCTCCTTTGTTATCAGTACAGGCGCAAACAGCAAGTGAGGTGTATCTTACAAAAGAGCAGCCTGTGATTTAGAGTTGTGGTGAAAGTTTATAATTTCTTTCAACAGTCTTTACATTCATGGCTGTCTCCTACCATCAGTTTAGTTTTGGAGTTATTGTGTCTCAAATTGCAAAGTTGCTGTCAACTATAGGAGGGATTCCTCTTTTGCTTTACCACAGAAAAGGCTTGGCTTTTTTTTCTTGCTTTGATTGTGATTCAAACCCTCTTTCTTAGCCGAGAAAAACAGGAAACACCTTTATACACTGTTCTGAGAGCCATGTGCGTAGTGAGCTGTAACTGCTGATTAGGCCCTCAGTAAGTGCAGCTACAGCGCAGTCTGTTCAGAGAAGAACATGGCTCTTGTCATCAGAGCAATGTCTCTGTACAGCCAACAGCATTCTGTAGTTGTAGTTGTGCACTTCTCCTGTACAGTAGCGAGTTACTGAAGTCAGTAGAGCATTAGTGATGGTTTGTTACCTTCAATTCATAGATTGTAAAGACTCTCAAATACTTTGTTTTTACTATCTTGCCTATTTAACAGAATTAGTGCAGTTGTTTTGGAAGACTGAAGATTGTAAAAAGAAAAGAATGGGGTTTTGGTTTTGAAAATTAAACTTTTTGAACTTATTGGAAGTTCTTACAGATTGATGCAATGAGGTGTAGCTATTGAAAGCAGGGGATAGTATAACTGAGCAAAGTATTAGTCTGGCTGTGCATAAGGCTCTGTGATTTGCTGTGCTTCACTGTGCCAGATTTTTTTTTCCAAGGATGAAGAACATATTTTCCCTCAAAAACAAATGAATACAGTTGGGGGGGAGAAGCCAGGAAGAGTGGCCATGTGTCAGTGCCTCTTTGCATGTTTCTGCAGGTTCACCCCTCTTATCTGAGAGTCTGACACGTAGGTACGTTTATCTCTTGGACTCCTCTTGAAGTGGGGAAACACCATTAGTGAAGACAGTCAGGCACTTTGGTATGTGTACACACTGCCAGGAAAGTCAGGGAGAGGGGACATCCTCCAGGGAAGGCCAAAATTCTCAGAGAGCACTTCTAGTGGCAGGTAACAAGTGAGACAGGCCAGCTCTTCTCATCAGCAGCTTCACAGTAGTTCTGTAGCTTTGGAAAGCTTAGTGTTTTAGGTAACAGGCTTAGCTCTGCTCTATCCCTGCTCAGCTACCCCATGAGCAAGACATTGCCTTGGCTCTGTCTGACTAGGGTTCAGCACTGCAGCTGAGAACAGAGGCAGAGCTAGCCTGACTTCCAAGGCTTTACCTGTACCCACACTCAGTTTTTTGGAATAGGCTGATTGCTAAGGCTTTTAGCCCTAGAATAAAAAGGCAGAAAACTAAGGATCTCTAATTTACACATTGCATGATATCTGGGTTAGTTTGGGAAGGTCACTGGCCAAAATGATGCTTTCAGGACAGAATTCTCTCTGACCCAATTCTGGTAATATATCTTTGAGGTAGAAGTATGGATGATGATCAAACACATGAGGAAGATTCTGCATCATACTGACCTGTGGTGCAAGTGAAAGAATGATGCAACTCAAAATAGCTGAGATAATGGCATTAACATAAAAAAGGAGGATTTAGAACTAAAGTGGAAAGCTGGAGGCAAGACAGGGATGAGATAAAAGACTAAAAAGAGACACTCATTTCTGAGTGGTGTTGCTCATTTTGAAAGCATTTGCTTTATATTATGGTAGGGCAGCTAGGAAAAAAAACATGTTACGGCAGAGACCTGCCTTTCTTTTGCGATGTACCCACTTTCCACCTGAATAGCTTCAGAACAAACATCTGCATGTTCCCTTGCTTCTTTCAGTGACTCATCTTGATTTTTTTTGTTTGCAGTCCAGTTAGTTCTTGTAAGACAATTACAGTTATAAAATAGAAAATAGTCTTTTTGCTACCAGGTGAACATTTATGCAAAAGCAATGCTTACTATGTTATTTTTGAGCTTTTACTGAACAGGTGAGTACATTTTTAGTGTCAAGTTGAAAAATATTACTTAAAGATAAGGAAGCTGAAGGATACTATTATAAATCACTGTGCTTGTAGTCAAATAGAAAACCTGTAGTAGCTGCAGGAGTGGAACCTCTGTGCCCTAATCTTCAAAAACACTCTTTGCTCCAATAGGAGGGACATTACATGAAAAGGTTTTTATTCACTGACAGTTAAACTGTTTTCCATCACTACTTGGTTTTCTCAATTACTACCAGCTTCTGAGCATTTTAGAAGTTGGCATTTTCTCAAGCCAATTAAAGGTTAAATCAGTGCTAGTCACACCACTTCATTACTCACAATTGCTGTCCAGCTTAGTGCCATTTGTCACCAACAGGCATGACCCAGAAAAATCCATTTAATCAGAACAGTTTGTGGTATTTTTCTTTTAGCTATCTTTATTTCATATTAGTAACCTAAGTCACCAGGGTGGGAAGGAAACATTGTTTGATATTGCTGGAAAGAGTCTTAGAAGGTTATTAAAGATAAGGTGACATTACCTTGGAGGGAAAATCTCCTATTCAAGTTTGCTTGTGGAGTTTCTGAGTATTTTCAAAGCTGAATTTTATTCTGCTTGTGGAGTGGCTATTTCCTAAGTACAGATACAAGAGGCACCCATAGAAAAATGTGCTCTTTCCTTCAGCTGCTTTTATGTGATTTTCTCAGCTGCCTTCTGAAGACTGCAATCATGTGGAGTGGGATTCCCTCAGCCAAATGTCTTTTCTTCACAGTTCCTTTCTCTCTGGCATGTACTAAGGGGACTGGAGGTTTTTGGGACAGCTGAGCCAATTTGTTGGCCTGCAGTACAAAAAGGAGTCATAGCCACATATGTGTGAATGGCAAAACCTTTCCATTTCATGTGAAGGTTCTCATGAGAGGCATTTGAAGTTGCTAAATGTCTATGCTACTAAATAAGGTGGTGTAAAGACCTAGAGCTAGGCTTGTGGTTGTTTCAATTCCAGGCAAAACCAAAGGTTGACTGATTCTTGCTACCTCTTTGTTGATGATTGTACTACTGCCTAAGATGCTATCTGGCAAAAATATATAGTAGAAGCCCTTTAATCTGATGTATATGGTCTAGAGGGTTGTTAACGGGTTAGAGAGGATAAAGGGAAAAAATCTGACTTTTAAGTTTCCGCTTTCTGAGGATGAACACTGCATAGCATCACGTCAGAATTCTTATGACAAAGATAAAGAAAACGTGTCTTAGCTTTTCTGTGTATATTCATTGGGATTTATTAGGAAGTAACCTGGGATAGTGCAAGGTGCTCTGCAGTCTCCATATTCCAATGAGGAGTGGTCTTGGGAGAAAAAGCCTCTTAGTTCCTGTCAGTGGGATGTGATCAGGCTGTGAAGAGTCTTCAGACAGAACTCATCTGTGAGAACTATCTGCAGTGTAACCTGCAACCACCTCACAGAACACAGCTGAGTAGCACATCAGTGCTATGGGGTTTCAGGTACTTGGTTGTGTATTACAGGTAGCAGGTCTGAAAAATGCAATGACTCATTTTACCTTCTTCTCCTGCCACATAACCGGTTCTGAAGCTGTTTGAAATTGTAGGAAAGGAGGTTGGCTCATAAGTGAAAAATTGCTTTGTCACCATTGCAGCTGATACAGCAATAATTCTGGGAAAGATATTGTAAAAATAAATGTCTGTATTTTGAAATGTTTACTTCTTGGTTTCTCTGCAGCTGTTGCCCTACTGCCCTTTAATATTATTTTGCATCTTCTCTCCTGCTTGCTTTAGTACTTTTTAGACGGGATGGGAGATCTTCCTTTTTCAATTTCCCTATTTAGTCTCAGCCTTGTTCCTTCTTTTTATGCCCTAAATTTTTGTGGTGATTTTGTGGTGATTAGCCACATTTTAAGTGAGGATGGTTGATCTGGACAGTTTCAGGTGTCTGATGTCATTCAGACTGGCCTTTAACAAAGTTGCTCAGTAGTTTTCACTGAAATTTCACTTGCACACAGGCTCTCCAAGGTGAAATCACGGTACAGCACTTTTTCTCTCATAGTTTATTTTGGCCTCTCGATTTTTAGTCATTTCTGCTTATATAAACAAGAAGTAAAAGAAGAAATATCAATAACATAAGGGTTAAAATACCAACTGAAAACAAGCACCTCAGTACCAAAAGTTGTCAATCATTCTTTCATGTTACGTGTGTAAATAAAATAGGAAATTATAGCTTGGTCTGAGGTGATGTAACTCTGAGTTGAAGCACAGTTTTCTGCAGTATTTTGTGAGGCAGAAAACTCTAATAGCAGGGCATTGCCTCAGAGTGGAGTTCTGGCTTCCTTTCCCGACTTTCAGCTATTGTGTTGCAAAATTTAAGTGCACAAACCTTTGCTTAAGCCAGTTACTTCTTGGGTGGGGGGGGGAGAGGTATTTCCAAAGACTGAGGTCTTTCAAAATGACCTTTTGAAATTTTTCTGTGATGTTTTTGAGCATTGGGGAGAAGGTAAGAAGGTTAGTTTCCAAGCTGAGAGCACAAAATATCTGTCCAACCATCTCACTGAGCCCCTTTGAAATTCTGGCACTTCTGTGCCTGAGCAGAATGTAGGCACTCTAACAAATCTGATGATTAGTGCAAGTGTGATGCTTGAGATGTTTTGGCTTGTACAGAACAGATATCACCTACTCCTAAATGCCAGGTGCTTCATGTGGAGTGCAGCACACAGGCAGCTGTGAAACTTCACTTGCTGTTGCCTCCCTTTAAAGCTGTGCCAGCAAATGCACAGCACGATCATTTCACTGAAAACACACACAGCTCCTTGTCACCTGATTGAACTTCTTCTGAACAATCTCAAAGCATGGCATTAATCCTTAGTTGTGCTGTAATACACCTTGGTTAACAAACATGTTGAACAGTTTTATTCCAGTGACAAGTGTGATTTCTGGAATTTTGGGGCCCTATTTAGCATTTTATGGTCTGTGGAAAGAACATTTTTTTTTAATTTCAGTGGGTTCTGACTCTAGTGGACCTGCTGTCTTCTGTAACTGCTGAGTCCTTAGAACAGTAGTGGAATTTTTGACATTTATTGCTCTCTCTGCACCTTCTTGAAAGTCGGATACTTCACATGATTTCAAGAGGCAGAAATTAGAACGCAGCAGAGGAATATATATTAGGAAAAAATTGATCTGCATGAGGTACAGGAAAGGTGTTAAAGGTTTAAGTTCTGACACAGTCATGTGTTGCTCCTTTAATGCAGGCTTGCCCTGGTGGAAGAGCAGTTCCTATGTTTGCATAATGTCACACATCTGCAGAGATCAAATGCTGGATGAGAAAGAAACAGTGGTTTGTGTCTGTAGAAGTGTTCGTAAGGTAATTGGTTACACATAGTCAAGCACAACAGAGGTATCCACTTATTGCTTCAGTTCCACAGCATTCCGACTGATGCTGTACCAGAAAGTTTCCAAAGCAGTATTTCTCCCTCTTTAAATTAAAGTAAAAATATGTGTGCATTAATGCTAGGAAATCTGTTCTTCACAAGGTTAGTTAGTACAGGGGTATAAGCTGCAAAGGCATTTCTAGGAAGTTAATAAAATATGTCCCATTCCATCTTATTGTTGTAGAAGCTCCTTCTGTACTTCCAGGTGCTGAGAAAACAGGTGTATTTTTGTGAGACTGTAAGTACAGTTTTCTATGATATCAATACTTCATGAAGGTATTCTGAAGTTATTTCTACTGAGTAGACAGGCCATTTCTGAGAAAAACATTTTATTCTTTTTTGACATTCAGACTTTAGTTTTAATGCAAAACCTGGTAAACAAAGGAGAGATTCAGTGACTCTGACTGGCAGGGCTTGCACAAAAAGAATAACTTGCTTAACTTCTTGTTGGCAAAAAGGATGGAGAATCTTTGTAATGAATAATGGAAAAAGAGAACGATAACAATTGGAACAAGCGCTGTAGGGTATAAAGTTGAATGCCCAGCTTGTTCTTAATATGTGGCAGAGTGGTTTAGAGGTTCTGATTCCCTACAAAATACCTATCAGATAGTAACATTTTGCCCACTTCTGCCCATCCTTTTCTTCGCTCAAAGGCAGAGGTGGAAGTTTGTCTCCTTTAGGTTATTGAAATGCCAAAGGGACAAGATAAGATTTAAGGTTAATTGAGGCCACTTTCTGTCCTGAACAAGGACTGCTGCTTTTGGGAAATGGCTGCAGTGGCTTTCAGGTGGCAGATGGGAAGCAGTTAGTTGGGTTGGTACTGGACATTTCAGCAGTTGGGGAAGATTGCAGGGATACTACCAATGAGAATAAAGGTATCTTGCTCCCAGATGTTCTAACAGTGAAGGGGAGAAACTTCTTGTATAGTTTTTCTTCAGATTTGGTACAAAATGGGAAAGAGTTCTAGGCAGCCACATGGAAAATAGGCAAAGCATAGAATGGGGGTTTTTTTAAATTTTCTAGAACACAGCCTTGAAATAGTTAACAAGTTACATCAGGAGCAATTCATTTGGTTCAACCTGTATTTACTTTACTGGAAGAACCTTTAGGTTGTGAAATGTACACTGTGTGTTCTTGTCCTTGCACTAGAATGAAATACTTAAAAGAGGAAACGTTTTCAGTAGTATTCCAGGAATGTTTGAATAAACTCTGTTTCTATCAGCATGAATGGTTAAAATTTGAGCTTTCGGTCCCTTGAAAACAAACATGTTTCTGCTTTGATTCAAGTTCTGTTCTGCCAGCATAAAGGAGTTAAAACCACAACCTAATGCCACAGTAAAATAAGTCTGTATAGGGAAATCCCCAAATGGCACAGGGCTGCCGGAGCTGCTTCTACACAGGGTCCTCTGCCAACAGCACACACCATCTCTCTTGTAGTGGGCATGGAAAAGCATCTTTTCCTTCCAGGAGTCCAGAGGAAGTGGGAAGGGTAGACCATATAGCTGTTGTTTCTCTGGTGGGCTTGAGCAGACAGAACATTGGCAAGCTGTAAAAATCCATCTGGGACGGCCCTGTTCCGGAGCTGAATTGACCAAAATTGATGCATGGTTTTGCCCTTTTTCAACTTGGTTACAAAGACTTTGAAGCCAAATATTGCCTTAGGTTACATATGACTTTCACTTTTGCATCACCAGAGGTGATTGGCAAGACTATTGCTTCAAATGTCTTCACTGAGATTAGGGACTGACAGTAATAAATGTGTTAAGACTGAGAACAGAATCAGTGAGTATGCTTGACATACAATCTGCTAGCAATATTCTTCTTACCATATGTGCATAAACAATGTTGCACCTCTTTGCTTCATGTGCAATCTGTCCTTTCTTCAGATCTCCACATCCACTGTCTCCTTAGACTGTAGCTTCTTTTGCATGACAGAGCTTTCATCTGCAGGAAAGTGTCATTTTAAATTAAATACTACTGTATCAGTAGAATCAAAACATTGTATTATGGCATTATTTGAAGTTACCTAGCCTTAAGCAAAATAAGAAATTAAAAAGTAATACTTTCTGTGCTAATCTTACAAAGTTTGTGCCTTTAAAAGGACTTCAAAATTAAGTAACAAAGAATAGAAGGTATATTGGAAGTTGTTTAATATACATTGGAAAGGTGAATGCAGAGATAGGTAAAAACTTTACAGGTAGTTCATTACTTGTTCTTTAACATTATTGCATGCTCCTAATTTTTTCTTATTGCATATACATGTTGCTGCATTTGCTTTGTTTTACAGTTGTACAGTTTTGGAGAGACAGTTTCTATAGTGTTCTGGACAGATACATGGAAGCCAGAAAGCTTTTTTGACAAGATCGAGAAGAACAGGCGGAGTGGAATGCACACCCTGTGCTTACTTGGTGAGCAGCTACCCGGGCTCCTTAATTACCAACGCAGCACTCAGAGGCAGCAGTGACAGGCACGGGATGCTGTCTGTGATTCAACATGTTCTCAGCTAACGTATCTCTGAAAATAACATGAAAAACTGGAGTGTTAGTGCATGGGTCCTTAGAGTCAATTTGCCGTTGTTCATGCTACAGCAGCCAGGAATTTCGTAATTCCTTCTCAGAAAATCCCTACTGATGCCTTTGTAGAAGTCAAATAGGAGCAGAAGGTCCATTTTTGCTCTTAAGTTCACTAAGATTTTGAGCTAGATCTGGCTCAGCATCCCAAGCAGATTGCAGTGACTAGCAGCCATCTTTTGTTGACTTAATTAAGTCAACACACTTAAACTTTCTGGGGAGCTAAATCATACTTTTAACCACGTTTGTATTTTGTAAGGTGATATTCTTTTTCCTAAGTTATCTAAGGGTCTTTTGGCCAAAGGCAGTTGTCATGTGAGAAGCTTCAGCGCTTAAAAAATCCTTGCTATCATGGAGCTGAAATGGAACCCTGCTCCCAGCCCATCACTGTCCCAGGCTCTCCCACGGTGCTCTCTGATCTTTATCCTACCCAACAGCCCTCAGCTGACAGCCACTTTATGAGAAACTCCGCTGTAAGTAACTCCTTCAGGATTATGCAACTCCCAGCATATAAAATATAAGGCACCTGCATTATTTGTATATATAGTTATATATCTCTCTGTATCGTAGTTTAGACACAGCTGGGATCATTCAGGGCTAAATAAATTAATATCTTAAGTAAAAACAAAGTCTGTGGTAATTGGAGGATCCTGAGCAGGAAACAATTTTAAATGTGTATGCATCACTGCACATCAGACTTTCCAATGCCTTGAAAGTTGTTTGTTTTCAAAATTGGCTAAAAATCAGAATTCTGGTAATTTTTTTTTAAAGAAGGATGAGCTGACAAGTGCTTCAGACAAGGACTATTACAGCTACAGTATGTTGAAACAAAGTATTCTTTAGATATTTTGTATAATAATTTCTATGGTGTCCCTTTTAAATTTTTTTACATAGTAGCAAGAGAGTAAAAATTTGGAAACCATAAAATCGCATTATAAATCTCACATTTCAGGGATTATTGTGGTAGCTGCATCTCATTGTTACTTACAGCTGAAAACTACCCATTTCCAAACTAATCGTTCCCTCGGTCATTTTGGTCTTTGTATTGTGTTTATCCAACTGATTGGATTACTGTATAAGCAAATGTGATGTTAAAAAGGTTAGTGCTGATAAACTTCCGAATTCAAAGTGACTTCATGGACATATATGCAGTTTGGTAAACTGGGCACTTTCAGTCTTGCAGCTTTGCACTGTCACTTTGGTTTATAAGTTAATGATATAATTAAGCAATACTTTTTTAAAATCCAAGGTTAAAAATGTATCCAGCTTTCAAAATTATCAAAAATGATAATTTTTGGGGGACATTTGAATACAGGTAACATTCGAATTCCTCTTGGAGAAATTATGGTCAATTAGTTTCATAAAACTGCATCTGTGCAGAGTCTTACCTCCCTCACTCCTTCTATTTCAGTTTTGCCCAAGCCTTTTTTTCCCCCATAACAGGAGATTGTTCTAAATTTTGATTGGGACAGGAAGGAAGTGCTAACGAAAGTCAGGTTCCTGCAGGCCAGTGATGAAATCACTGTCGGTCAGTCATACTCTTTTACCTTTGGTGACCACAAAGTGCTTATGATTTAGGAGTAGCCTCAATACCCTGGTATGCCCAAATGTGCTGGTATTTAGCTATCCCATGGTAAATATGCCTGCTATTTGTATACTTAGCTGTCTTTTTATTCAGCTATGTTGCTCTGAAATCTGTGAAACTTTCCCCGTCTTGGGTAAAATTGCACACATAACGTCACAATACTTTCTACATGTAACAGTACAATTTTTCCTGTAATAGATAAAATTTTGTTATAAATTTTATAGAAACCGTTAATTAAGTTTTTACTTACATAGAAAACTAAGTGGGCAGTTTGTGGGCAACCTGTGTTTTAATATCTGTTTTGTTCTACAGATATTAAAGTGAAGGAGCAGTCTCTGGAGAATCTCATGAAGTGAGTCACCATTTTGAAAATATACAGAAACACACAGTGCACTTACAAAGGTTTTTTTTGTACAAGGAACAAAGGTTCTTTGCCCATGGTCTAATACTGAACTTACCTGCTCCTCTCGTGCTCCTCAGTGGCTGCTGTCTTTTGTTTCTTACAAGGAGTGGAACTCTTTTGTTCACTGCAATAGGACCTGGCTTTATTTACAGTAACTGAATGGAGTTGTAGCAGGGCATAATCTTTTTTGTAACTGTTGCTGTGAGAAGCACTAGGTCAGAATGGGGTAGGATTTCTGCTTGGTGAATGAAGTGTTATTCCTCTACTGTCACCTCCTGAAACAGATTAATATCTGAAACAGTGTTCTAAATTTATTCTTCTGTACACTGGCTGGAAACAGTGTGAAACACAGAATACTACCAACCTTTTAAAACAGTTAAATAAGCAATATATAGAAAATGCTCTTAAGTTCGCTTAACTGTATTCAAAAAGCTCTTACCACATCTTATTCATCTCTCTGCAATCTGTGTGTTTTGACAGCGGTGAATATAAACGGTTCCTTTATACACATGCTGTAACTGGTCTAAATTAACGTTTATGAAGTCTCACAGTATCATTGAGGTTTGTTTATTCTGGAGTTCAAAATAAAATCTGTTTGACTGAGTCCACAGTTGGCAAGGAAAGCAGCATTTCATTTAAGAATATATTTCTAGTCTGTAATCATCTGTCTGCAGGGCATTTGACAGAAAAACAGTCGTTTGCCCTTGAATTTAAGCCTAATGCATCTTTTGGGAGTAGCTGCAAAACCTGCATATTGCTTCTAGCAGCTGAATTTGCTTTTAGGACTCAAATGATGTGCCAGCTGGAGGCCCAGCTGTTTCACAGGTGTGGCGAGAGCACAACAGACTTCTGTCTTCCTTAAAAATTCCACTCTTGTCTAAAAGGCCCAGCCTGAGAGCCTGGGCCTGTTTATGTTCAATTTGCTGTCTAGAGGCCTCTTGAAATAAGTTGCAAGAATGCTGGGGATAATGAAATGTGTTATATGTGAAATTTCTCTATTTTCCCTTCACGGCAGAGGAAGAAAGATTTACGAGCCACCGCGCTACATGAGTGTGAATCAAGCTGCAGAGCAGCTTCTTGCCATTATTCAAAACAGGAGGCACCAAGGAGAAAAACCAGGTATACGACTGCAATGTTTGTGTCTGCTACTACCCCTCTCCAGTCACACCCCTCGATGAGCTTCTGGGCTCCACTCCCTTCCTCTTACTCTTGGCATTCTCTTGCTCTGGAGTGGATTTAGGCTGCTTTAAATCTTAGTCAAGATGGATTTAGCTGAGCTTGAACACGGCACAGCTTGGTGAGCACAGATGAAGGTGCAAAAGTGGCTCCTGGAGGTTTAGTCAAAGCCTCAGTTTGGAAACCACGGACTGTTTCTATCCCTCTGTAACTATGAGCTCTTTGATCCATTCACGTTGCACGAGGTGGAAGGATTTGGAGCATTTTTGATCAGTCAAGCTTCAAAAAAATCTCTGCTACATTTTACTTAGACTGGTCATGCTCTGCTCTACATGAATACCAGCATAAATCTAGGTTAATCTAAGGATGCAGAACTGTGATTTTGACCTTGAATTCTTAACAGTAGTCAAGAGCAAACTGTGAAACATGTTTATTGAAACCAAGGGTAAACTCACAGCAGCTATAAAGATGACTCAGTTGTGTCACATAAAATTTTTTCTAATAAAAATTCACCTAGCTCTATTCCTCTTTTTAGAAGTTTATTCCTTCAATAGTGTTAAAATGAAAATCTTTTCCTTTTATCCCTTATATAGAATAATCAGAAGCAGCCATTTCCCAAAAGTGAATACAGTTCGTGAAAGAATTATATATTCTACTTCTGCTGCCTTCCCATTCCTCCTTATCAACATCTTTAAGATACAGCTTTATTTTCTTTGAAGAATAATCTTCTTTCTGAGCCACTCCAATAATTTAATAATTGAAGGTTTAAGAAAGCAGTGTTAAGGTTTAAGCACTTTGAGTACTTTTTTCCTTTATGATGGGATCATTAGTCAATAAATTAAGCATTTAATCTTCTTTCTTACAGAAACTACTGAAAACACAATTTGTGTTGGCCTTGCTCGTGTGGGTGCTCCAGATGAGAAGATTGCAGCAGGCACACTACAGCAGATGTCCAGCGTGGAATTGGGTGGTCCACTACATTCCTTAATTGTTACAGGCACTATGCATCCTCTGGAATTAGAGATGCTTAAGCTCTTCTCTGTAGATAGTTCCAGTTTTGAAAATAATGTATGTCAAAGGACCACTTAAATAAAAATGAGGCATTTACATTTTTATTCCGTCTTTAATTTCCTAACAGCATAAAGCTATTCCTGTGAATATTTAAGACTTGCCTAACAGCAGTTACACTGCATACTGCTTCAGAAGACAGCACTGTAGGAACATGGACCTGCTTTCACCCGAGGCTGCAAGTATATGCTTCTACCATGTAGACCCTCCAGAAAGTTTTAAACACATCAGCATCACTTGTGATCAAGGGGACATCACTTCTGCTGTAGTCCATTAAGCCTACTGCCATACAGTGTTGTAAGTGCATTAGATGTTAAATTTCGCTTTTCAACTTCCCAGAAACTTAGCAGTCCTCTCACCAATAGAAACCATTAGCATGCAAAACCTGTTAGGTCTGTGTCCATCTTTACTTTGGGAGAGTGAATACAGACAGGTGAGAATGCTCTAAACCCAGAAAAACAAGAACTTACCCTTTGATCAGCTGGTGAAACAGACGGAGAAGCTGCACAGAACTTCTTATTTCAGAAGGCTGCAACTTAAAATAGAACTGGATTTCTTCATGTTAATGCTAGCATTCACAAAGGGCTGGACTCTAACTGCAACAACCACAATTAACCTTAAACCAAGTCTCAGCAGACTGCAAGAATTCTCTTTAAAATCAGCTGGTGGATGATGGTGGTCACTATTTCAACTAGTCTTCACGGTAAGATGAGAACAAAGCAGACCTGTATGCATTTTTTTTTTAAACTGAAGATTTATTGGAAAGAAATTTGATCCCATATCTTGTCAGCAATATAGGATATTTAACATTTTATATAGACTGTATTCAAGTAGAAAAGATTACATTAAAAATTTCTTAATATTGCACTTGGGACAAGTTGTGGCTAAGCTACTAACATTAGCATTCCAGAACAAATCATACAGAGTCTTCAGAATTTTAGTGAGCTGCCTTGTGATTTCTTCACAGGTACTTTGACACACTGTGCTATTCAACTTTAGCTCACTGCTAAGAGTAATTCCTGTAATTTAAAGGTAAAGGTAAGCAATATGCTCTCTGCTACCAGGAATGATTTTGGCAATTGCTTCATTCACATTATTTCACACTTCAGCCAAAATACTGTAGCCATTCACTTAACTCTTGTACAAGATCCCAGCATACACATGAGAGACTCCAATGCACATGGGAAGTGAAATACCCACCTCCTTTTACTTATTATTTCCGCCAAATTACCACAGAGGCAGGAACTTTTTGTGGCTCACTGAAACAGAGAAGCAGATTAAGCAGTGTGTGCACACAGCAAGACAGTCTTCACATGCCAGGCACAGCAAAGCATGACTGGCATCTTCACATTATAGCAGTGTCTGGCCAATGGAGTCCCAACAGGGATGGTCACTGCAACAAAGCCTAAATGGGGGACAAATCCAAAAGGGAGTAGAAGTGTAAAGGAGGAATTAACTACTGAGTCAGTATTAGGGATCAGACAGATTATTAAAAAAGAGAAAAAAGAAAATCCTGCTTAAAGGGGTGGATAATCAAGAATCATAGCAAGTGGCAGTCTGATGGCTCCTGGAAGAAACAGGACAGGGCTTAATTATTAAATAAAACTGTTGCTCTGAAGTGGTATTTAAAGACCTTGTTTCATGAAGAGAGAGAAGAGTTTGCATTTTACAGAAGCATGCAACTGAAAATTTGCACTGTGCAACTGCAACTGAAATCTGCACTATGAGAGAAGTGCCATAGACTTTACAATCTGAATGCAGAGTGTGTGCAAAGGGTGGAAAACTGCAGGTCAGCAGCAGCTTCTCTCCCCTCTTGCATCTTGTCTGAATTCCCAAAACAGGTTCACTTACAACAGTTAAAAAGAGATACCCTTACTTTCCTTCACCTTTAAAGCCAGTTTTACTTAAAAAAAAAAAATTAAGAATGTTGAGTCACTAATGTCCATTTTATTAGTAGCAGCAGCTTCAATTTTTATGTAAAAATAGTGTAAGCAGCTCTTACTAATGATGCAACTAAACTTTTGTTTTAGTAAGCAGTATTACATAAAAACCAGAGTCATTTATTTGCTTCTTGCACTTTTTGCCTTAGTTTAGCAAATCACACAAGTAACTCAGCTCTCTGTAGGGGCCCAGCTGATCTAAGGAGCCCGTCTGTACATATCTGTAGACTTACCGGATTAGCCTATAAAGGACCAGTCTTCACTGTGCATATTCATAAGAGTAGTTTTCTTCCACTGTTATTTACCATAAAAAACACTGGGGCATTTTCATGCAGACACTCTGCAGCATTTGTCTTCTGATTTTGCTGTAGGCGCGGTAAAAATCGTGCAGTTTGCAGGCTTGGTCTTTGGGACAACAGGGTTGTAAGTTACTGGTTTCAGTCACAGAAAAAAACAAACCACAAAGACAGACTACGTTTAACCCCATAGTAAGCTCAGCTACATGAAAACATGAGAAAATCATAAATTGAAAACTTCGTTCAAAATTCAGTAGTGAATAGCAGGAAGCTGAGTTTTAGCAGATGATCTGCAGATTCATCCATCTCTGGATGTCAGCCACTCACACAAAGCTTTGTTTAAAATGCCATGCATCTTCAATAAAGTGTCAAAAGCAAAGTGTTACATAAGCAGCCAAGTGTTAGGTAATTAGCAAAACACAAAGTAATGGTCCTTTGGCTCTCAGGGTAAGAAAAGCTGCACTGTCATTTGCCTGATTTGTACTCTCCTAAAACCTGAGCAAGTATCCCCTCAGTAAGTGAAAAAAAATAAATCTGATGTCACTCGGTTTACTGACATACTAGATATGACTGTGGTTACCTACTGAACATGCTATATACTGTCTTCTGTAACATTTTGTGATGCTTATCCTTTTTTCAGAAAGCCTAAAAAGGCTTAAAGTCTATTTTAAATCTGACTTCCCTATACTATCCCCAATTATATTTGACAAACAAATTATACATTTCTTACTATAAAACACCAAGTTTAAAAATAACAAAGTGCTATCTTAGTTAGAAAACTCAGACTTGTACATATCCTTCCAACAATCTGATAAATCATAATAAGCAAAAAAAAAAAAAAGTCATTAAAATTGTTTTTATAATTATAACTGGCTTATAGGCTTTTTCACTCCATTTGCCATATTAAAAAAGTCTGTAGATGTACATTTAAAAAAATACCAGCATCAAAAAAACCCAACTCCCACTTGGTCAGATTGTCGCTTGGGAACGAATAGTAGCAGTTGTCTTTTCATTAAGAAAACTAAAGTAGTGGCCAAGCTCAGTGACTAGGGCAGCACTACAGTATTTTATCAAGTCCAGGAATACCCAGTCCCAAAACATGCTGGTATAAAAATTTAAACCAAAGCCTGCTCTTGGATCATGACACAATGGCATTGAAGTTGGCTGGTGCTTGCCTTTAAAGTAGTATCAGTTGATCTTCTCTAGCCTCAAATAGCAGTAACACTAACTATTGAAAAATGAGGAAGTCATGCTGTCAGCCAACAAGCAGCAGTCTATATGCAACACACTACAAAACAGCAACTCCACCCTATAATCACAACCAGATTTTAATCACCTTTTCTGTGAACATACATGCACATGGTATCTTAAACTGCAATGCTCAAATCTGCTCAACAGATTGTTGCACCCACCCTGTGCTGTGTAACTCCCAGATCCCATCTTTCAGTCAGGAAAGTCTGGGCCAGGCAGGGGATCTGCAAGGTGGGATGGGGAGAGAGCCTGACAGAGCGTCAGGCAGGAGGCCAGAAGAGTGATGTGGAGCAGTGCAGCCAGATGGGAGGGCACTCTGCACCCACATCCCCAGGAGCAGCCAACAGGATGAGAAACCAGCAACAGGGATAAAGAAGGATCTGAAGGCTGGAAGAGACTATAAAGCTTAAAAGCAGTAATATATGTGGCTTTGTACTGCTATTTTTCTTTGCATCCAGTTTTTGGTTCCAAGCACAAGAGTACACCCCTAAGCTCTGTACAAAATCAACATTCATGTTTCAATATCCCATCTGGAAAAGTCAGGAACCACCTATCAGTTTGGCAACTGTTGTTTTTTCACATGAGAAGAAATCAAAATCCAGGTGCTCTATAGGAACAACAGAGTGAATGCAAGAAACTCTTCATATCTGCTATGAATTCAGCAATATCAGTGGCAAACATTTCTGCAAATCAACCTTCAGTAATTTTGTAGTGCCCAGCACTTACTACACAGACACTGTCAGCTTCAGAGGGCCTTGATTTCACTATTACCACATAACAGGTACCAAAAAAATACTTAAAATCCATACCAGTCAGTGGCAGCTATGATTTATCAGAAAAATGCCTGCCTTGTTTTTTACTCCACAGTGTTCTGTTTGGAAAATGTCCTCTTAAAAAGTCTTCCATTATAAGTTAACAAGTACAGCGTAGTGGAACTATCATCTGTAATACCAAGTATAGCAGATTTGTTTTGAAAACAACACTCAGATATCTGAGCAAAATGATTATAAATGCTAGAAAAATATGACAGACTAATGTTTCTGGAAAAAAACCCAACCAACCAAGCCATGCTGCACTAAGAACTTTCTCCCCCATGAAAACATACAAAAGCTACAGTAAGATAGTCAAAGATATCAGACTTGTCAACCTGGGAAAAGCATAATCTTAAATATGAAACATGGCCCTTATTTCTGTTTTGGGTATAGCCACCAGGAACAACTATTTTCAGTATTTGGAAAGGCAAAATTATCTCACCAATCACTTTAATAAAAATTATTACAACCTATTAAAATCAAGGAGATTTAAGCTTTCACAAACAATTTCGAGATTTAGTTTTTTCCACCAGGATTTGGAAAATGAAAAACTTCAAGCACTGCTTCCATCACCAGCATCTTCCCTCAGCTGTCTGTTTCTTAAGTGACTATAAACATGAGTAGCATCATGTAGTGTCTCATTACTTTCAACAGTATGAAGAGACTAAGAATTGGAGTTAAATCTTAATATTTTGACGAAAATAATTTTCACAAGACATGTGTAACAAAATACCCAGCTTATTTTGGA